CAGGTACAAGGCAGGTATAAGCAGATGTGACAGGAAGCTCACAGGTGTGTGAAACAGGAATAATGCTGTTCGTTCAGAGGGGCTACCCACCTACACCATCTGTTGTTAACCCTATGACTTTAGAGGAAGCAGTGGTAGCATCCCTTTTCACAGACGAGCAAGTGAAGGCTTAGAGGGTAGATAACCCTATGCCTCTTCACAGGAATGTGATGGGAGAGGGAACACATGAGCTGGGGAAAACAATCTATGTCCTGTCCAGGTGGGCCTCCTGAGAGGTGGGCACATCGCAGAGACCCTGACTTGCAGCAGCAAAGCAATCCTATCCAAGCTCCAGCTCTCCTCCTTCCTAGCCAGGTGCCAACCTCCCTATGCCTGTTTCATCACCTGTAGAGTGGGAACCAAGAAGGATGTAGGTAACAGTAAATGAGAAAACATACAAGTGCTTACTCAGTGCTGGTAAACACCAGGAGCTCAATTAGTGCTCTCGCTTGGAGTTAAAGCATCTGGGGTGATGTCTCCTTTTGTTAGGGATGGATCCAGACCACCTGTCATTTGGAGCATGGTCTGTCCTCATGGGCCCAGGAGGTTTTCCTGCCCAGGCCTGAGCTGAGCTCTTCTCCCAGACCTGCCCTTCCTGGCCTTGGCATTTCTCCCAGGACTCTGCCCGGGCCTTCTGCCAACTCTTGTCCTTCTAAGAACTATTCCCTGTTCCCCTGAGCTGACTTTTGGAGAAGGGCCAGGCATAATTTATATAAAAAAGCAGTTCCAAAGAAAGACTTTGGGGTTCAATATGGCATTTTAGGGAGACAGAGTTGAAACCACGTAGCCACACACAGCTTACCGTCTATATTAATAAGACTTAATTGTCCTGTTTTCTTCAACATAACTTTACTATTCTAGGAACCTCTTGGCCAGGAAGACGAGTCATAAATAACCTTATTGTTCATTCCAGGGCTTCCTGAAAGAATTATTTAAAGGCATTATCAACCTGTTCAACTCTTCAACCAAACACAAAAAACCAAACTCACTGCTGTGGAGTTGGATCTGACTCATAGCGACCTCTCCTTGGGTTTCCGAGACAGTATCACTATGGAAGTAGATTGCCCAATCTTCCTTCCGAGAGCATCAAAAGAGTTTATACCCTGACTCACCTCAAAGCCCCTCCTTGCTGTGTCCCCTGATCCTAAACTACATCCTGATCATTGGCCAATCCTAGTCAGGGCTCCCTCCACTGCACTGAAAGCCCCACCTAAATCAGATTTCAGAATTTTCATACTCTCTTGACTTGTCCTCCCCATTCTGAGATGCTGGGAAGCTCTCCCCAGGGTAAGAGGGTAAGCTCAGCTTTGTCTGATCAACAGGTTGATATTTTTGGGAAGCCAGCATATGACAACAAGAAACTGAGTCAAGAAGAGGTCTTCCTTCTGACCTTTGAGGTGGAAGAAAGCAGTGGCCTAAGTCCACGTGATTCCCCAGTGGGCAGTTAGCAAGACCCTAGAATCTAAGAAATAGTGCCCATGTGAGATCCAGAAGGGCCCTTGGGGACTTAATTCCTTATGCGACCTCTTCACTCTTCAGACAGGAAAGGGCCTGGAGATTTGTGATTTATCTAAATCACAGTTACTTCCGTTGTTAAGAGGATTAAATGATTTAATACAATGTCTCAGTGAAGGGCTTAGATACTGTCTGATACCAACCAAGTTTTCCATGTTTGTTAAATAAAGTAGTGGAGTGCCTGGCCGAAGTCAAGGCAAAGTCAAGTTGGCCTTGCAGATTTCAAAAACAAAAACTGGTATTAACTCCAATCCACACAGTGGTTTTCTACCTTGTATCAGAATCACCTGCAGGGTTTAGTAAACTACTCCACAAATTACTGATTCAGTAGATCTGGGATGAGGTCATTTCTAACTCGCTCCCCAGTAATGCTGGTCAGGAGACCCCTCTTTGAGAATCACTGACCCAGATGAATAGAAGGATGTAAAATCTGGCACAGGTGAGAGAGAAGTTTGGGGACAGCAGGGTCTCCCCCAGGGCTGGTACTGAGCTGTCCTGCAGTAGCACAGCTTTTGGGCACTGATGCGTTCTGCCTGCCTGAGCCTCACCTGGGGAATCCGCTGAGCATCCTCCCCCAGGGGCAGATTATCCAAGCAGCAAAGTCACTGCACTTCTTTACTAATCTGTAGTGAACAATTTCACATCTGTGATGTGGTGAAACCCATGTGAAATTATTCACTATAGATTAGTAAGTAAGCACAAGTAAGGCTGTGCTTACCTTGCTTATTGAGTGCTCTGTCCCCATCAGGGACTGTAAATGTGAAGAGGCTCTGACTCTACAGGAAGGTGCTGTAGCACTGGGAGAGAGAAAGATGCCAGCCATAGCCAGGTGCAGAATCTCTGATGGAACAAATGCGAAATTTACCTCCTGTTCTCAACAGGAAGGGCAGCCCTTCCTCTTCGCAGTGGACAAAGGAGGTCTGTGCGCTGAGAATGAATCAAACACCAACCAGGTGGATGAAACCAATGCATCCTTTATTGCAGACTCAAAGCTAAGGGTGTTCACCCACTGGGAGCTTCTCTGACCGCCCAAGCTTCCCCAAGAGTGGGAGGGGTAAACTCCAAGCAGAGTAGCAAACAACTTCCAGGGTGCGGCCCCTTTAAAGGGCCTGCGGTGAGGCCCTGGGGGAGCAGGCAGCTTGGCATGCAGGGCTTAACCAGAGAGGCAGGGTCCAGAGGTGACAAGAGCCCTGGCCAGGCAAACCCAGCCCTCATCTCCTGCCTATGTGATGGAGTGTGGTGCGGACTCGGGCAGACCCCGAGAGGCTGAGGGTCTCCCGGCCAGGGCTGGTTTAGGGAGGGAATGAGCAAACCAAAAAGCAAGCCCTGTAAGTGGCAGGATGGAGAGCAGAGAGAACTTGACCTTCTGCTCTTGAAGACATACCCAGGACCACCCTTAGAACCTTGCTTCTCACACTGTAAAATGCTTGGAAAAGTCACCAGGGCATGTTGTCAAAGTGCAGATCCTGATTCAGTAGGCCTGGGTGTGACCTGAGACTCTGCATTTCTAACAAGCCCCCAGGTGAGGCTGATGCTGCTGGTCCATCGACCACATTTTGAGTTGTAAAGCTCCAACTATACAACACCTTTGTTTATATCAGAAAAAGGCATCCTTCTTCAACTGGGAGAAACCTAACTCTAGGACACGGGGTGGGGCAAGCTGGGCTTCAGCCTCTACTCACTCCCAAGGGGCACAGCTGAACTCACAGCCCTGGAGAACCCGTCTTGACCTCCTCGTCCTGAAAACCTTTCCCCAGAGCTTGGCCAATCAGGCCTTGGGAAATGAGCAGAGTGAACGAGGTGTCTCTTGGGATCAGCGATGGTCCAACAGTGCCCCAACCAGTCAGCTCCCTGCTATGAGAAAGGAGACCTGGGCAGGGTCAGGCCCCAGGGGCTGGAAGCATTTTGAGGAAGGGTTACTGCTCTCAGGGGTAGTATGACCTAGGAACAGCTTAACCCTAGCAGTGGCTGAGTGGCCACTAGTCCCCAGAATGTAGGAGTTGCATGGCCTGGCTACATGCCTCCAAAGCCTGGGGTCTCAGGCTGCCTCCAGATACCCACACAGAGGTCCAGGCCAGGTAAATTCTGGGCAGCTCCAGGTCACCCTGCTCCACAGGTGAGGAAAAGGTGATACTTAGAGGGTCAAAAGGTCAGGGGATCTCCAAACCAAAGGCATTGCCAGAAAGCCAGAACCCCAGGCTGTCTCCTGGTAGGGTGATCAACCATCCTGGTTTTAGCACTGAAAATGCCACATTCTAGGAAACCCCCCAGTCTTGAGCACATCAGGACCACTGGTCACCCCATTGCCTGGCCACATCCTAGACTCCAGGTTGAGGGCCGTCAGAACATTGGGTAGTGATATTGGAGCCTGTGGGCTACAAATCCAGTGGTCTGTAGCGCCCCCAAGTGACCACTTAAGGGCAGTTGGGCAGTGGCCAGAAGTGGGTGTGGCCATCAAACTGCCTCTGACCAGGGCCACTCCTCGGAAGGAAGAGGGGGCATTCTACTTCCACAGTGATACTGCCTTGGAAACCCAAGGAGGGGTCGCTATGAGTCAGGTCCGACACAACAGCACATAATAACAACAACAACAACATAGCCACAAGGTAAATGGTCCTGTTCCTCTCAGGGCCACTTCTCTCACAGCTCAAAGGACCATGCCAGCCACACCTGGTTCCTCCCGATTCGGGGACAGAGTCCCCAGAGCTTCCTCTCCACCCATTCCTTAATCCCAGGAAACCCAAAGGCAACTAGCCTGCTCTCCAGTTTCCAGTGTCAGGCTCCTATGTGAATGTTTTCAGCCCTGCAAGCAGATTCTCACCCCAGCCCACTACTCCTGGTTCTAGCTCCCACCAATGCAGGGGTCCAGCAAGGCTGAGGGTGGGGCGCTGTGAAGGGTGTGCCTCCCACGAATCTGTTCTCAGGAAGCAATAAATAGATGGAGGTTGTCTGCTACTACTCTTAGGGTAGCTAGCGATCAGCTCTCGGCACTAAAAACAAGGCCTCAAACTCACAGGGCTCAGAAAATGCTCAGCAGTGCTTACTCCGTGGGCTCAGAGGGTACCTGAAGATTGGAGGCAATTTGGAGGCACGCATTTCCTAAAAAGCCTCCAAGGAGCCCAACAGAGGAAAAGTCTCCCACCACAGCCCCTTTTTTCCAAATACCAAGGTGCAGAGAGGGTGAGGGGTCTTGCCCAGGTTTACACAAAAGCTGTGAGCTCGGGCTCCAGCCTCCTTGCCTCCTCCCTCAGGTGTGCCAGGCCCCCTACTGCTCTAAGCTATCTATCCTGGGCCCTGGGCCAGCTCCACCCCCTCCCTTCATGTGCTGTCTGGTACCCACCCCCAACCGCCAGGCTTGGCCTCTCATGTGCCCATGGGATTTCCTCCCCTCAGGGGTTGGGCCATGTGACCTCTGTCTCTTGCTGGGTGGGCACGAGGAAGTTGGTCTAAGGCGGGGGGGCCTGCGCGCCCTCTGGAGTCATGAGCATGTTGAACTTGATGAGTGGTGGGGCAATCACGCGCACCTCGGCATTCAGTGGGTTGAAACGGAGGTTGATGCTTCGCAAGGCTGGCATGGAGGCCAGCTTCTCCACAGGCACATCTGTTGGGGAGAGAAGGGACAGATGAGTTGGGCTGGGGCCATGCAGGCAGAGAGGCAGGACAATGGGCCGAGAAGATGTTGACATGATGGTAGGGAGAAGCTCTTTAGCTCCCATTGCATGTGGGGGTCAGCTTCTGGGTGCCCACCAAGATATCACAACCACATGGAGGAAAGCATCATAAGAAATAAGGACCATGTTCCTCAAAAAGATAAACACAGAATTACCCTAAAACTTCTAAACTCACTGCTGTTGAGTCGATTCCAGCTCATAGTGAACCTGTAGGTTAGAGCAGATCTGCCCCTGTAGGGTTTCCAAGGCTATAAATGTTTGCTGCACCTTTCTGCTGTGGAACGGCTGGTGGGTTGGAACCACTGACCTTTGAGTTACCAGCTGGGTGCCTAACTGTTGCCATCACCAGGTCTCCTAAGACCCAGCAATTCCACTCCTAAGTGAAATTCCTTACCCAAGAGAAATGTACAGAGATACATGGACATCAACATTCACTGCAGCATTATTCAAAATAGACAAAAGGTGATTCACAATAGCAAAAAGATGGAAACACTATGGTACATACAACAATAGAATACTAGGGCAATACTAAAGAAGAATGATGAGTCTGTGAAACATCTCATAACATAGATGAACTTAGAGCCCTTTATGGTGAGTGAAGGCAATCAATCACAAAAGAACAAATACTGCATGAGATCACTACTGTAAAAAGTCAAGAGAAGTGTTTCACAAAAAAATATTCTTTGATGGTTACCAGGGCTGGGTAGGGAAGGGACGGTAAAAAAGGGGAGAGCAGGAAGACAAAAGATGGAAACAATTCAAATATCCATTGGTGAATGAATAGATAAACAAAATGTGGTACATATACACAATGGAATATTATTCAGCCATAAAAAGGAATGATGTTTTTAAAAAAGACCAGGCTTACTGGTCTGATAGAGACTGGTAAAACCCCTCGAGACTAGGACCCTTATTCATCCTTTGGGCCTGGACTTGAACTCACTCCCGTGGCTCCCAGTCAGACAGACAGGTATGTAAGGTGAACATTTACACCAGGTAGTTACACGCCTTAGAACAATCAACCATGGGAGATCAGAGGGCAGTAATTGCACAAGAGATAACTCAGAGGGCAGGAATGCACACGAAAGAAGGACACAGGGGAAAGGTAACTGCAGGGAGGAAGGGGGAAGAGAGCTATTACCTTATGGGGACTGCAATCAATGCCATGAAACAAAATGTGTATAGAGTGTAAAACAGAAAATGAATTTGCCCTGTAAACGTTCACCCAAATCACAATAAATAAATAAATAAAAAGAATGAAGTTCTGATATATGCTACAACATGAACTAACCTCAGTAACACTATGCTGACTGAAAGAAGTCAGACACACAAGACTTAATATCGTATGATTCACAGACTGCCACAGTATCAGGCCTGTAACGATGAGCTTTCTACACCCCTCTGGTAGAGGGTACACTCTTATCCAGTTTAATAATCTGTTACTTGGTATATTTTCAATATTATTTTCTTAAGTCACTCTTCTTTGTCCTTGTTATTTGGAAATAATTTCAAATACCAAAAGTTGCAAACTAAAAACTGTACAAAGAACACCATATACCCTTTATCCAAATTCATCAGTTGTTAAAATTTTACCCTTGGCTTTAGCACTTGTGAATGAATCCCCTCGTTTTCTTTCTCTATGTCACACACACACACACACACACACACACAGTTATTTTTCTGAGAGTGCTGAAGGTAATATACACACATCATGGCCTTTACTTCAGTCAGTTTTTCCTAAGACCATTCTCTTACATAATAACCATACTGCAATTATCAATTTCATACATTTGCATTGATGTAATACTTTTATTAAATGTTACCCATATTCTAGTACTAAGGACCTTTATAGTAAGTATTTCCTCCCCTTCCCCTGTTACAAGACCCAGTCTAGGGGCAGGTTTGCATTAAATTGTCATGTCTCTGTGGACTCCTTTAATTTGGAGACACAGTCTTTCTTTGCCTTTTACAACACTGACATTTTTGAAGAATATAAAAAAAAATCAAACCCACTGCCATCGCGTTGACTCTGACTCACAGTGACCCTACAGGACAGAGCAGAACTGCCAAACAGGGTTTCCAAGGCTGTGTATCTTTACGGACGCAGACTGCTCCATCTTTCTTCTGCAAAGCGAATGGTGGGTTAGCATTGCCAAGCACTTTCACAACTGCACCACCAGGGCTCTTTTGAAGAATACTTCCCCTCCTCTTTCTCTCTGAGTCAGACAGACAGGTTTGGTTTTGAATAGCGCATTCCTCACTGTGTTGTGTTGTTTGCCTGGAGTTTCTCACGATTAAATTGGGATAATGTACTGTGATATGGGAAATTGCACAGGTGATGTGTCCTCCTAGCAGGAGACATACGATGTCCATCTGCCCCTCATCAGTGATGTTTTTTGATCCCCAGTGAAAGCATATTCCTCATCGTGTAATTACCAAGGTTTCCTTTCCCCTCCTTTGTAACTAGCAGTCTGTGGTGATGCACGATACCCTGCGCCTCACTGGAATTCAGTCCCATCATCCCTGCGTTAAGCATCTACCGAGGATTCTTGGCTGATCCTCAGGATGGCTGCAAAATGATTTTCCTACTCTAGCGTTGCCTCTGCATTTGACCACGGCTAGCAGATCTCCTCTCTATTTATTATCAATATGGCCTCCTATGCTCTCTGGTAGCATAGTGCCTAAGGCACTTGACTGCTCACCAGAAGGCTGGCGGTTCAAACCCACCAGCCACTCCTTGGAAGGAAGGTTGGGCAATCCTACTTCTGTAGTGATACTGCCTTGGAAACCCAAGGAGGGGTCGCTATGAGTCGGGGCCGACTCGATGGCACATAACAACAACAACAACGCTTATATGGTTCATAATTCATCATGGTATTTACTTACTTTGGTACTCAAATTGCCCAGATCTGGCCAGTGGGAGTGCCTTCAATCTGGTTCCTGTGTCTTTTGACATGCCACCTTCGTGGTTTTGCTGAACTTACTTTCTGGTAAGGCTCCTCTTGAACCTTCCCTGCCCCAGTCCTAGAAGCAACCACTTCTCCAAGAGGTCCTAGTTCCTTCTGGTGGGAAAGGGCTTCTATGCTAGGTGGCTAAGCATGATTTTCAACTCATATATGAGGCACATGTGCATCGCATCCCTTGGCTTTTGACTACTGCCTAGACCACTAGGCCATTCATTTCCCATACTCTACCTCTCTTCTGTGCCAGTGATGGGCACCCAGGGACTTCCACCTGCCCTTAAGGGTCAGCATGAGCACATCCTTGGATGCATGCCCAGGAGCAAGGCTGACTGCTGGGTCACATGATATGTGTATGTATTTCAGCTGGTTGCTCTCTAGGACTCCGCTGAGTCTACCAAGAGTTTCAGGGCTTTCAAAAAAAAAAAGGATGCTTGTACCTTCACCCAAATCATTACAGGTCTCTTACCTAGCTACAGGTCTCTTACCTAGCTAGCAGTTTTCTCTCCTTCCCCGCCCTTCCTTGGTAACCAACAAAGAAAGTTTCCTTCCTTGTATAAATCTTTCCTTGACTTTTTATATTTGTCCTTCTGTGATCTTATTTCACTCGACATAATGTCCTCCAAGTCTATCCACTTTATGAGGTGTTTCATGGATTCTTCATTATTCTTTAATTTTGCACAGTATTCCACTATGTGTATGTACCACCGTTTTGTTATCCATTCATCTGCTGCTGGGCACTTAGGTTATTTCCATCTCTTTGCTATTGTGAATAGTGCTTGGATGAACATGAGTGTATATCTGTCTATCCATGTCACAGCTCTCACTTCCTCAGGAGATATACCTAGTAGTGGCATTGCTGGATCAAACAGTATTTCTGTTTCTAGTTTTTAAAGGAATCACCATATTGTTTTCCACAGTAGTTGTACCATTTTTAAGACATTATACCAAAAGTGGGTGACCAGCACAGTATCACTAAGAAGAAGAAGAAGACACAGAGAGGTACACAAGAGGTACAGACAACAAGAGGTACTATTCCATACACAATTCTGCATTATCAATAATAATAAACATGAATACATGGGTGGAAACATAGGTAGACAGGCAAGAGGATCAGGTATGGGTAGGTGAACAGGAATGTAACCAAACCTATACATAGGTTTGGCAGATGATATCTCTACATACGTATCCGTCTGGGCTATAAAAATGTCCATATATATAGTGGAGCTAACAGGGGGCAAAGTTATATTAACTTCTTAGCCACAACCAAACCCCCTGAGGGAGTGAGTTGCTGGGCCTGTAGGCCCCAGGGGACATCAAGCTCAACTGGTATAACATAGTACATAAAAACACTGTTTTACATCCTATTTTGGTGAGTAGAATCTGGGGTCTTAAAATCTTAAAAGCAGCATCTGAGATGCAAGCCTGTCCTCATGAAGAGTGAAGAAAATCAAGGACACATGGAAACAATTAGTCCAAAGGACTAGTGGACCCTGAGACCAGAAGAACTAGATGGTGCCCAGCTACCACTGGAAAGGGATCAAACCACTTGGAAAGGGATCAAAATAGAAGATCCTGGACAGACTGGGAGAAAAATGTGGAACAAAATTCAAAAGCACGAAAATGACCAGGCTTACTGGTCTGACACAGACTGGCAAAACATTCATCACTATGGTCTCTAGTCAGCCTTTGGGCCTGAAGTTGAACTCACTCCCATGGCTTAGCTTTTAGCCACACAATAGAGAGGTTTGTATTGTAAGAAATTATACCAGGGAAGTGCACCTCTTAGAACAATCAACCAGGGAGATCAGAAGGGAACATAGGGAAAAGGTAACCACAGGGAGGAAGTGAGAAGAGAGCTGTTTTATAGTGGGGATTGCAATTAATGTCACAAAACAAAATGTTGTATGGAAAACAAATTTGCTCTGTAAATATCCACCCAAATCACAATAAAAAGTTTAAAAAAGATA